TGACTTCAGACATCATCCATGTGAGGGTCAAAGATGTCATGCATGCAAGCAAGTAGAATGTGGCACAAAACCTGATTAGGCCTTATGCGAAGTACCCTGTTATTCTTGTTGCTGAAAGTTTTACAGTCAGACATGTTATGACATGCATAAAGAGAAAAAGATCTGCGACAGCATTGTTCAATGCCCTATGTGTCGTAAGGAGTTTGAACCCTCAGCGTCAAAAGAACCTCACCAATGCTACTTTGACAAATGCTTCATATGCCATGAATATGTAAAACTTACAGAACACAAATGCTTTATACAACCTGTGGCAGCCAAAGAAGATCAAAGAAAAAAACCAAAGCAACCCTGAAACGCCATAGAAAAAAAAATCCCTTGGCCTCGGTGTGATGTTTTAAGTTTGTTTATTCTTTTTTATGGATTGCATTCTGTATTGTTCTTAGAGTAGTTTTGTTAATGATGTTGAACTAATTCCGGTACCTTTTTCAAGTTCAGTCAATGCTCTTTCTGCATACTTACAATAGGTTATATGATTGCTCTTTTACAAGGCATGCATGCGTTGATCACACATGCCTTAGACTTGGGTCTTGTTGTCTAAGAGAACATCTCTTTAAAATTAATAGTGGTGTGTCACCTATTTCCAAGTGCAGTTTTAACTCTGAATCGGTGAAGCACTTTTTCTTGTATTGCCCTGGGTATGCTGCTTAATGTGATGTCCTCCTTACCTCTGCTACTAATATTCTAGGTGAAACATGGTCATTGAGTACTGATGCTATGAAACTAAATTTCTTATTGTATGGTGTCGAGTCTGTAAATTATGATGTCAACTGTGCTTTTTTTTTTTTGCAAAGTACAAAATTTTAATTCACACTAATTGCTTTGCTGAGGTCAATGCTTGATTGTTTAATTAATATATTCCTAGCTTAGTGTGTATAACTCATTGTTATTGTAACCTGTGTGTGTTGTTTATGTGTCTGTGTGTAAGCCTGAATCAATAGATTTTATATTTCTAATATGGCGATCCCCTTCATTAAGCCTAGGTGCTTTTGAGGAAAACAATGGAAATTATGTTAAAAAAGGAAATTAAAAAGCATTGGGGAAGCAATATATGCCACTTAACATGGAAAGTGCAAGGAAAACTTTGAAAAATCACTTAGTGGCATTCAAATGCTTGTCCCTGAAGCTGGTTTTCAAAAGAGGCCTTCACCTGCACAAAAGAGCTGTTTGATGTGAGTATAAGAGGTATACTGCTTTCCTGCTTCTGGTTTAGATCATATTCAACATGTAGACACCACAGAACAGTCATTGATGGTTGTGAATCATTGTTGTTACCAATATCATCAGGGGTGCCTCAGGGGTCCAATTTAGGACCACTCTTGTTTATAATTAATATGAATATGGCTCCTAAAGCTATACACTCAAGCACCACTGTACAACTGTATGCTGATGATATAAAATGCTTCAGAATCATTGATAACACCAATGATGTTTAACAACTACAAAGTGACCTGTCAAATCCAAATTGGTCAGCTGATCACTTCGTGGAGTTTGGTTCAGAGAAATGCAAATATCTTACAATCACAAAGAAAAAGAATATTGTCAATTTAACCTATATACTTAAAGGCTTGCAGATTATGTCAGTTACAACTGAGAAAGACCTTGGTGTGCATGTTTCTACCAAGTTATCTTGGAATAATTACATTGATGTTATCATCAGTAAAGCCAACAAGATGCTGGGCATGATCAAAAGAACTTGTACCAATAAATGTGATCAGAAAACATTGATAATTTTATACAAATCAATTGTTCAATCACAGCTGGAGTATGCTCCACAGGTCTGGTCACCTTACACTAAAGAAAAGATCACTGCACTTGAGCATGTACAAAGACGTGCAACTAAATTTATCCTCAAAACTGACTTAAGTTACCCTAAGAGACTTGTCAAACGGAAACTTTTACCTTTACAATATAGATGAGAGATATTAGATCTTTCTTTTTCTTTAAGTGCCTGAAAGGTTATATTTATTTCAATGTTTAGTCAAATGTAAAATTATAACATCAGAAATAGTGAAGCTACACCGGTGAAAGGCCTTTCAGAACTAATGTTTTTAAGTTTTCTTTCTTCAATCGTATTGTAGATCTGTGGAATTGCCTACCACTAGATTTCAGAACAATTGAACATTTCTCATCATTTAAGAACACTATTAATAAATTTTATCTTAACAAATTTAACGCAAATAAGGATAGATTTTAATAATTGATTAGTGATACATTGTCATATTTCATACTATTTGAGAAAACTTGTATAAGTTTTTATGTATATATATACATACATATGTTTCTTAATTGAGGGTTTATTTTTATAAGGAATTCTGGTATTCTGTATAAACTGGCCTACTTATTCAGATCTTGTAATTTTTTTCACTTTCTCTTTTTATTTATTTTAATTGTTAATTTATCTACAATTTGTTTATTAAGACCTGTATAATTAAAGTTGAGT